CTGATCCACTTCCCATCCTGCTCCCTGCTTGTAGCCTTGTAGCGTGGGAAAGCAGTAGATGATGGCCAAAGCCTTGAGTTCCCGTACCTACGTGGGAGACCAAAAACAACTCCCGACTCTTGGCTTCAGATCAGCTCAACCTCGGCCACTGTGACCACTGGGGGAGTGAACCAATAGATGGGAGATCTTTGTCTCTCCTCCTCTCTGTATATCTGCCTTTCCAATACAAAATTAAATCTTTAAAATAAAGCATTTAAAAAAATACAAACAGGACGTCAAAAGAACTTCCTCAGTAACAGCTGCGACTATGTTGGTTTGCACAGGACTGAAAGGACGGATGGAGTGCAGACTGCAGAGAGTCCAAAAGATCCACACATTGACCTGTCGAGCTGAATGTTAAACCCCATGGTGAAAAATGAAATCACAATCTTTCGGTTCCCCGGAGATTTGCATTTACACAGGCAGTCATACCAGGAGACTGAAATTCACTGATCCCCTCCTCTTCCTGATTACGTCCAACTCTAGCCATTCATCCAACCTGTTGAATGCTTACCGCTTCCTCCACTTGGCTGCTAGGTCTGAGCATAAAGCTTTCAAGCTTCATCTCGCTGTAATGTCATTACTCGCTTCTGTGCATGAAGGAGACCCATTCTGACGTATGGTTATATCATGCTGTTATTTATCCTTGCACTGGTTAGCACTCTGAGCTTCTGCCTTTTGCTCTGCTGAAGCAGGCTTCTGGGAGTGCCCACACACAAGCACACCACTGCACACACTTGCACTCCTCCGCGGTGTACACCCAGGGCAGACGTGTGGGGTCACATGGCAGCTCCGTGATAAACATTCTAAGGAATTGTTAAACTGTTTCCCAAAACAGCTACCCCACTTCCCATCCCTACCAACAATGAAAGAGGATTTCAAACTTGACATACCTCATCAACACTTGCTGCTGAGTTTTCTTTTTCCAAAATTATTTATGTATTTTATTTGAAAGGCAGAAACACAGCTGAGATCCCCTATCTACCAGCTTATTCTCCAAATGCCTGCAACAGCTGGCGGGGCCCAGCCAGAGGCAGCTGCCGGGAGCTTGATGAGAGTCTCCCAGGCTAAGAACAGGAAGCCAGCTCCTGAAGCCATCACTTGCTGCCTCTGGAAGTGTGCAGCAGGAGGAAGCTGGCACTCCAACCCAGGCACCCACGGCAGGATGTGGATGTCCAGGTGACATAACCACACCCCATCCTGGGGAGTGTGACATCGTATCTCTCTGTGGTTTTAAATTGCACTTCCCCAAAGATTTTGAGCTTTGTTTGTGTGTGTGTGTGTGTGTGTGTGTGTGTACTTACTGTTTATCAGTGTATCTTCTCTGCTTAAATGTCTGTATTCAGATTCCCCAAGGATTTTTAAGTAGAAAATCTTTTAACAGTTTCATTCAAGCGTCCCTTATACATTTGGGACACAAGGACCTTATCGGATGCTCTCCCATTTTGAGAGTCAGTTCACAAAAGAATTCATCCTGATGAAGTCCAATCTATCTTTTTCTTTGGTTGCTATAGTTAAAACTTCGCCTAACCTAAAGCGGCGAAGATCTCCAGTGTTTTAAGAGTTTTACATTTTTGACTCTTACTCATGTCTCTAGGAGCAGTAATTCTGTAACTGTTGTTTGTTCTATCTTTATCATCTCGTAGGCTCACAGAAGTAAGGCAGTGTATCTAACTAATTTGAGAGGCAGGCAGAGAGTTCCCACCTACGGGTTCACTCCCTCCAAGCTCGTAACAACGGGGGCTAGGTACAGCAGAGGCCGGGAACCAAGAACTCAGTTCAACCACTTAAGCCATCACCTGGTGCCCTTAGGGTCTGTCTGAGCACAAACTAGAACCAAGTGCCAGAGGTACGCATCAAACCCACACGCAGATGTGAGACCTAGGGATCCTGCCAGCAGGATAAACACCTCCCACCGCATCTCATCGCATCTCACTGTGTCCTCACCCAAGAGAACATGAGCTCCTTCGGGGCAGGAACTGCTGCCCCTCCTCCATCTTGTCATTCCCTAGAAGCAGCTCCAGGGCAGGCACAAAGAACAGCGAGACAGATGGCCGGCTGACGGACAAAGGAAGCAAATCTGTGCCCTCCTGGGCAACATCCCCACCTCCTGTCCCCCTTGAGGGGAAGGGGGCCGCAGCAGCAAGCAGTCTCTCATTTGCCCTCCCCACACTCACTGCCCAGGCTGGTCCTGCCTGGTGCCACCCTGAGGCTGTCCCTTGGCCTGGCATGCCTTCTCCTTGGTAAGCCTCACGGATACATGAAGACTCCCTTCAGGTGCCAATTCCTTTAGGAAGCTGATGGGGGCATCTTCTGGGCTGCAGCAGACCCTGGTTCTCACAGCACTAATCCAGCTGGCAACAGGTCACCCCTGACCCTGTCATCAAGGGCGGGGACTGTGCCTGTCAGGCATCCGGTGTGCCAGTCAGAGGGCCCAGCACATGGCAGCAGCTCAGTAAACGTCAGCTGAGCCCCTGAAAAAAGGCAGCAGTCTGAGGTCTGAAACTGACACCACCAGGTGTCCTTCAAAGGACTGCTTTGGGCTAAAGCGTAACTGAGCCAAGCACTCAGCAGAGGCCCCAGCTGAGAGCAGGAAATGGGCAGGTGTGCTTTTTGCATCCGTTTGTTCCACAGGAAAAATGCTGCTGCCAGGGAGAACGGACGGCTTCATTCTCTGCCGTCCTGGGGCTGCTCGCATGGGCTGCCCAGGCCTGACAGATGTGCTGCCGTCTGCCCTGTGCCCTAGGTTTCGGCTGAGTGCTTTCTGGGTCCAGAAGCGGGACTCAGGTCTAGGCGGGGCCCAGGGGCAGGGCCACCTGCTCCCACTACTGACCGGCAAGATGGGACCAGGCTCCCACCTGCCTAGAGCCAGAGCTGGAGGAACTGACAAGGCTCAAGTGTCATGAGGAGAAAGAGAAGAAATGATCACCACACAGGTGGGGGGAGAAGACAACCAGTCTCTCTTTGGGGCGGAGGGGAGGGGGCCGAGAAGACTCCAGCACGCTTGCTTCATTTACACTGAAAATTAGTAAGTAAAAAAAAAAAAAAAAAAGAAGAAGAAGAAAAATGTCACTAAAAAGCAAATGAGTTGGGGCCGTTGCTGTGATACAGCGAGTTAAGTCCACAACACTAATTTGTGTCCACTTCTGCTCCAGCTCCCTAAGCCGCCTGGGAAAGCTCTCAAAGACAGCCACATGGGAGATCCCAAAGCAGCTCCTGGCTCCCAGCTTTGGAATGACCCAGCTCTGGCTGTTACAGCCATGTGGGGAAGTGAACCAGCAGACAGGTCTCTGCTGCTCCCTCTCTGAAACAATCTTTAAAAAGAAAAAGGGCCCAGCGTGATAGCCTAGCAGCTAAAGCCCCCGCCTTGCACATGCTGGGATTCCATATGGGCGCAGGTCCTAACCCCACACCATGTCCACTAGGAGGCGCAGCAGCCTGGTAGTCGTGGCTGCCACTGACAGGCACCAGCCAGCCCCTTGGCCCTGTAACGGCATGCCTGGCACGGGCGACGTAAGAGGAAAAGAAGCTTACGTCAGCCCATGGTTTGGATGTTCACAGTCCAAGAGGGATGGGTACTACTGGTTTGTCCATCGTGAGGCCAGAGGAGGGGAATGGAGGGACGGGTGTGGCAGCAGGGAGAGCACCTGGAGCCACTCGGGGTTTGTCACCTGTCCACAGGTGAGAACCATTTGGGGGCACGCCCAAATGAGCTGCAACCTGAGCAAGCCCCTGCCCTCCAACACTCTCCACCCTTGGCATGGGACTTAGATCACCTGTGTGAGTTCAGGACTCACACCCTACACAAACCAAAGCACGAGGGGAGAGCCGGGGCAGCCAGGGCCGCCTTCGGTCCCTGGCCCCTGCACAGCAGCATAACGAGACGGGGCCCGTGTGTTCCTGGGGGAGTGGATGCCACATGGCCTGCAGTTATGAATGGCTCTTATAACAACAAGATGACATCTCTGCCTGACTTTTAAGATGCATCATCACATGTTTATTAAACTGTTGCTCCATCAAATTTATTTGGATACAAAACAACTCCCAGCCCATACTTCCAAAAGTGGTTTATTAAAAACTGAGCCTTGAACATTAATACTCAAAAGCACCCTTGAGGACCAATAATAATGCTGGCGATAAAATGAAAGGGAATCAAAACAGTAAGTCTTGCTGCAGCCGTGCCCGCCTCTCACACCCGGGCCGTCAGGCAGCGTGGCGCAGAGCACCAGGGACAAATGCCTCATTTCCCGTCTAAACAGCAAACGTGACTGCAAGATGGTGGCGTTCCATGGCCAGCCCGCTACCTACAAAGGGTCGTAGAAAGCCAAGGGCAAGGTCCAGGGGCTGCAGGAGGGGTGGGGTGGGGGTGAGGAACACTCACCAAGAATAAAAATGTCTGTCCCCAACCTACAGCCCTGTACCTAATGCCTTCAGCTGGCCCCGGCTAAGCACACACGCTGGACAGGCAGCAGGCCGAGCCCGGGGTGGAACCCTGCTCTTGCCCAGACATCAGCCTCCTGGAACTCCAAGCTGCCAGAGTCCCACGGGGCTGCAGCACTGCGGGCTGCTCTGGGAAGGGCCCGGCCGGTGGGCCTGGGCAGCCCAGGAGTCCACATGGCAGAAGAGTCTCCTCCAGTTCCCCCGGAATCCCTGGCGTGCTGGTGCCTGCCCACCTGCACCCTGCCCCGGCAGCAGCTGTTGACTCGAGGGCCGCTGCACTAACAGGGACACACAGGATGGGGACAGGGCTCTGAGCACCCTCCACCAAGACCAGAAGCGCTACAGGACCAAGGATGTCTGCGGTGGCCTTCCCACCTAGAGGACTAAGGGTGGACCTGGGCTCTCACTGGTGACAGAAGTGACAGGGCGAAACTTCTTCCAGCACAGGGTCACCCGCCCCAGGCAGGAGCTCACCCTGGCCCACCCCTCCCAGGGAGCGAGCGGATGGGGCTGGCACTCACCTGCTGACTTCCTGCACGTTGTTGGTCCGAGCAGCTTCCATCAGCGCTGCATCTGCAGGGAGAGGGGGCACGGTGAGATCCCCCACCAGGCCTGGCCCTCAGGACCGGCAAACGGAGGCCCTCAAGGAGCTGGGCATTAATGGGCACCGGCTGCTGGTGAATCCCCACCACCCCGCCATCCCACGCTGTTAACAGGTTCACATCCACACCTTCCCACAAAGCACCCACACCCCCACACCTGGAACTCCTCCCAGCACTCGGGCCACATGTGAGCACTGTGTCTCACCCCCAGACAAGGCTTAGTGCGTGCAAATCCTCTTCACCAGCTAGATTATTCTGGAAGTTACTGCCCAACCTGTCCCATGCTCTCCTGGCACCATTTCTTTAGCTCAGCTGTGAGCCATGGTGTCCTGGCCACACACCCACGGGGAGGAGCAAGCAGCAGCAGGCCCCTGAGGAGGAGCACCTCACCAATAGTTCTGTGGTCACCAACTCACCCTGTGACTGGGGCATCCCCTCCTCTCCGCCACAGCTTCCTTTACTACAGAGTGGGACAGAAACTCTAGTCCCGCCAGCCTCACTAAGAGGAAACAGCTTAAAAACTCCACAGCCTCCACAGCGTTCAGCTGCAGAAACCCAAAGCAGGAAGGCAGAGCTTCAGGTTGTTGGCACCCCCTTGTGGCCACAATGCAAAACTGCCTCACTTAGAAAAACCCAACCGTCCAAAGCATCCATGGTACACTCCGTTCCAACAGTTCAACACGGAGGGACCTCAGGGTCCTCTGTGCCCAGCCTGGTTCTGACCCACACTGCTGGCCACTGGACCAACACACATGCACCCCTGCCTTGGAGGGGGGGTGCTATGTCTCACCAAGAAAATCATGTATGAAAGCACAGGAGCACAGAGGCAGGGCAGTAAAGGTGGCTTCTGCAGGCTGCTGGCCCGGGCTCTCATCCTAACGCAGCTATTCACAGGTCCTGGCTACATCCCCTCACCGCCTGGGCCTGGTCGGCATGTGAAGCAGCCTATGGTTCTGGTGCTTCCAGAGCCGGGTTCTTCCTGCCTTCCCTCAGGGAGCTGTTCCCAGGTGTACCTAGCCAGCATTTAGGGCAACAACATTTCCTCACCTCCTGGTGGGGGTCTCCCCATATCCCACCCCTCCCGGGGCTGTAACACCAGGAGAGCAGGTGCAGGGCTCTCCCCCCTCAGCTCTCACTCTTCAGGCAAAGGGGGGGTTCATGCAAGGTCACACAGGTGGCTGGAGGGGAAAGAATGAAGGCTGGAAGTGGGGCCTCCCAGCTCCCAGATGGCTGGATCCTTCCGGTGCTGCACAGCGGGTCTGGCAGGTCCCCACAGAAGGCAGCTGGGTTGGAACTGCTCACGGTCCACAGTGGCAAGCAGACTCCAGTTCCCTTGTTGGAACATCATAGAGTCCCGTCTGGAGCGCTCAGGAACCTCTCAGGAGAGACCCCGGACACCCCTCGCCAACTCATGCACCCACACTAGCCTCAAGCCACTCCCTGCGCACGAACCTTCCACGGCTCTCTCGTTTACAGGAGACATTCCAAACCCTCCCACTGGGCACGCACAGGTGGGCTCTCCTCCACCTGTTCTCACCTCACTGCAACGGCCCCACCCTCACCTAAGCTGGCCCCCTCACCTGCTGACCCAGAAGCTGGCTCTCCTCCCGCCACATCCTCCAGAACTTAAGTTCCAATTCCCTGTGCTTCAACGAAGGCTTTCCTGACCCTCCTGGGCCTGGGACCCACTGCGACAGCCCTCCCACAACAAGCTCATATGCTCCTGTCATTCTGGCTTCCCACACACCTGACCCCAAACCAGGCACACAGGAGGTGGCCAAGTATGGAAACCTGACAGGCCTTGGCAGGAGGAGTCATCAAGAGAGGATACAGGGTCAAAAAAGGAACACCACCACCAGACCCCGAACCGAAGCCCTGCCTTTGCCAGCTGGCCACACGTCGCCAAAACGGAAAACAAAACACCTCAATCCCAGCAACCCTGCCGCCCTCTTGCTCTGAAGTCTCAGAGTTTGGGGATGCACAGCACTCACACACGTGCCCCACAGCCCTTCCCTGTGAGGAACCCCCTGAGCACCGAGCCTGGGTGCATGCAGGCCAGCAGGGATGCCACTCAGCGTCAGCCACCACGTGGCAAGCTCACCTCTGGCCTGACAGCAGACACACCCAAACTTTTCACAGGCCAGGTCCCTGAACCCCGACGGGTCAACACGACACAACTTTGGGAGTACAGACAACTCCACCAGCAAGTGAGGTCGGAGGGGAGTCGGGGACCAATCCAGCCTGGGAGCCAAGTCTGCCTTTCGCAGGCCACCTGGGGGGGGGGAGGTAAAGGGGGTGCGGCATGCAATTCTCTAAACACCCCGCGGCTTTCTGGAGACCAGGACGAATACTACAATATAAAGGCACCACGTTCTACTATGAGATTCCTAGTTGCAACGGCCCATTGTGCGGATGGGGCAAAAAGACTCCCAAAGCAGAGGCTGACCCAGGCTGGAGGACTGCAACTTCCAAGCGAGAGGCTCTCTCCGCGAAACAGCTGCAACCCAGGGACACCTGGGGTCCCTCTCAGAGTCCACAAGCACCGCCCACCCTCCCGGGACGTGGACACTCCTCCCACCTGGTCCCCACTCCTCCCACCCGGTCCCCACTCCTCCCACCCGGTCCTTCCCGCGCGGTCCCCACGCCTACCCTTGCTGGATGGATTCTTGCTGTAGCAATGAACCACCAGCGCCGTGGCTAGCGCCCACACGCTCAGTCCGGCTCTGTTGGGGACGCCGTCCCAGCTGTCTTGTCCTGGAAGCGCTTCTTCGGGGCTAGGCAGGTGTTGCCACGAGGCGCCCGCGGGGCGCTGGGTCTCGGCGCATCCTCTCCGGCGCCCCGCGGCGGCTGCCCCTGCTCCAGGGCGCCCCCCGGCGGCTGCCCTCAGCCACTGCGGCTCCCCGCGGTTCCCGGTGGTCACGGCTCGGCCAGAGGCACGTCCACGGCTCTGGAGGGACTGCGGCCTGAGCAGTCGGAGGAGAAGCCGCGGCTGGGGCGCTGTTCTCAACACCAGGGACCCGAGCATCGCGACGGCTCTTGCGATGATCCCCTGGCGCCGGCTCCTGTGCTGGCCACGTCCAACATGGCTGCCGCGGCGCGTTCGAAGACGCCGCGAATGGGGTGGGATTGCGCACTGCCTCACGGGAAGTGTAGTTCATCGTCGTAGATCTTTCTGAGGCAGAAGAACGATGAGACTACAATTCCCGGAAGGCGGTGGGATCGCGTCACAATGACTGTAATTTAAGGGAGCTTAGGCCTTTTGGGAAATGAAGTCCTAGCGGGGGGGCGTGGCAAAAAGGGAAAATGCTGAAATGGGGCGTGGCGATTGGAGTGAAATAATTGATTTCTGGAACCCTACTTCTAGTCAAATCCCACGAGGCGGTTTCTGGCCGGTGTAGGTTATGCAAGGATCTTCAACACAGGCATGTTATGAAAGTTCTGTTGACTGCTTTTAGCCTGCTTCTCCTTCGGCGGAAGACGGTGTACCTGAAAGAGTAACACCTGTTACTTTCCTATCCAGATTAATAACACCTGTTATTTTCCTACCCGTTCATGAGTTGACTGGTCTAGCTCTCCCACCTGTGCTATTCCCAAAGGGCTTCATGAGGCACTAACACTGGATCGTCAGCGCAGCTGCGCACGCCAAGCTGGGCGAGGACATCCCGTCTATAGGGAAGACAACTTTGGCTCAAGGTGCAATGATCTGCTAATAAAAAACCTGCGCTGCCGAGCCCGCGCTCCTTCACTTTCCACTAGCTCCTGCGCTTCCGGTCCTGGCCCCACTTTTCAGCAGACTGAACCCACAAGTGAAGGGCCCTTCTTTGCATTGGGGAGGTCTCTTCCTCTTCTTGCACGACCTGAAGCGCAGTATCCGAGCCTTCGCTGAGGTCTCGTTCTCATCCTTCCCATTCTGTCTTGCCTTCACGGCGTTTATCCGCATAGGATAACAATCCTATCTGAGCAATTTCTTTAACACCTCCGGCCATATCCTCTCTGAGCAGCCTTTTTTCCTGCTCCCTTCTCCTGCTTTCCCCAGCCATTCATTTTACACACCCTATCTGTGAATATAACTAACGATAACCACCTTCAAGATTTTGGAGAAATAGAGAGCTGATGTACAAAAGTCCTCTAATGGGGCCAACTTTCAAGGAACGGTAGCTTATTATTATCACGAAGCATATATTCTAAGTACTTTATCACAGATTCTGACCTTTACTGTTCTGAGGCTGCGGCTTTGCCATGTGCCACAGCCTTCCGTTTTAAGAGCACTCCAGGCAGCCTGCTTTGTTCACCACCCCATGTACTAGCAGCGTCACCCTGCCTGGGGCTGGCACTTTGGCTCATCCTCCACCTTGAAGCACTGGGATCCCATCTGGGCGCCAGTTTGTGTCCCAGCTGCTCCACTTCCCATCCAGCTCCCTGCTTCTGGTTTGGAAAAGCAGTGGAGGATGGCTCAAAGTCTTGGGACACCTGCACCCACATGGGAGACCTGGAACAAGCTCTTGGGTATGGCTTCAGATTGGCTGAGCGCCAGCCATTGCAGCCATTTGGAGAGGGAACCAGAGGATGCAAGATCTTTCTCTGTCTCTCCTTCTCTTCAGTAAAAAGTCTTTAAAAAAATTTCTGCCTCCCACTCCAGGTGGGTAGATCAGGAAGAGGAGTAGTTTCTGAGTCCCAAGACTCAGCAGGTGGTCTCAGGAAGGGGTGGGGAGAGACACCTCTCCAAGTGCACAGGATACAAACTCCCTTGCTGCAGACAGAGCTCAGAGCCATCAGTTTGCTTAGCAGCGCAGCATTTCCAAGTGTTGACTTCTAGATTCCCCCATTTGATTTTCACAGGTAACACCTGTGAGGGGTACGGCACTGCCCCAGGCACTACCAGCTTTGGGAGAGATGCTGAGAAGTTTCAGGATCACTGTATGAGTAGACAAGTGAAAGAATGCAGAAACACCTCCTAGAATGGACTGAGGCTGGGGGAATTTCAGGTGATCAATAATTAATTCGAAGCCCTGCAGGATGCAACGCTCCCATGCTAAAAGGTCTTCAATCCAGAGTAGCTTCCTCTGCCTGCTCATAAAGCAGGAATGTATATAAGATCCTAGGAACTCTATCTTAGCCCTAAGCTAAGAGACAGAAAACTCTGTCTTCATTGGGCTTGTAATGAGGGGTTAGGACACATGGGTGCGGGATATCTGGTAGGGTTTTAAAGGAGCCAAAGTGAAGGACGATTGAAGAGTTGCTGTACTCATTTATCTGCCGTGGGACTAGTGGCCGCCCTCTGCTGCCCCTGCTGTAGGCTTCTGAGGACAAGAGTTTCCTGAAAAACAAAACCAAAAACATGCAGCTATTTTTAAACAAATAAATAGACAATTAAGGAAAGAGAGAGGCTTAAATTAACCTTGTGTGTTGGATTAGAATCAGGGGTATTATTACCCAAAGCTCAATATGGTATCAACCAAAACAACAAGGACAAGATTTGGGTGTGGAGGAAAGAGCATTGAAGCCTGACAGCTGAGAGCATGGTGGGCTTCTAGGTCTCCAGGACCACGGTTTTCCTGGATGGGGCTTGGGAAGGGCTTATGAGCAAGGTGCTGGTCTCCGATGTTAGGGGCCACGCTGGTCACTAGGTCCATGACAATGCATTCCTTCTCACAGGGATTAAAATTAGATTAGCCTGATCTGTTCCCGTCCCTCACTCTGGAAAAGTGGAGATAAGGAGGACATGTGTGCGTTAGAACATGGGTGAGCCAGAAAGCAGCCCCCCCCCCCCCCCCCCGTGAAGCCTCAGCTTTTGAGCTTTCTAGGTAAGTAGTAACAGCTATTAGCTTATTTGGTACCCGGTTTCAGCATCTGTATAAATGCATGGTCTTTGAATATGCATGCAGATACAGGAATACAGAAGCACAGCTATGAGGGAGCATGTGTTGATATTTTGTATATATTACCTAGCTTATTACCTAGCTCTGTCCACTGGGAAGGTCTAGAAGCCATGACACTCCAAAAATTGGAAACAGCCAGATCTCAACATCAACCTCTAGTCAACCAGGACTTTGTGACCTGGCGAAATAGTGACTTTCAGGACTAGCATGGGCAAAACACAAGATGAGCCAGGAATGACTTGTATACCAGAAAGCAAAGGCTCACTATCAGACATAGGATGATATAGAGAGCATGGGAGCCTATGGGAAGGCACAGTCAGGACCTGTGCTGGGGCAAGCTGACTGCAGGAGCTTCTCACTGCCACGGTGTTGGAATCCTCAAATAGATCAATGGGGAAGGAAGGGGCTCAAGAGATAGCGCCTCCTTACAGAAGTCAGTCAATACAGAGAGGAGTAAGGGAGAATTGGAGAATTATCATTGGACAGATACCAGTGATCAGTGTTTTGGACAAGATCCATGGATGCTGCTGAAATTAATGGTATGGTCTCCAAGGTGCTCCTATAAGGTAAATGACAGCAGCTTCACAGTGCAAACAATGGGCAGATAGCAGCTGCTCCAGGCAGGTGATCAAGGCAAACACTTCCAGGGACGAGACAGGCAGTCAGCATGAAGCCCTTGGCGAGGTACGCCGAAGAGTACACAGCACCATTTTTGTGGCATTCTTGTCAAATGCACACATCACTCTGATCATGAGATCGGGCACACCTGTACTGAGAGACATCCTACAAATGCAGTACTTGCAGCAGCGTTCTATAACAAGTCACCATAAATGTAACAGCTTAAAACAATCTTTCAAAGTCTCTCAGATCCTGTGAGCCTAGAGTCTAGCGTATTTAACTGAGCCTTCTGCATTAGGTCTCACCAAGCTGGAATGAAGGAATCAGTCAAATCTGTTCACATTTCATCTGGAGGTTGAACTAGGGACAAGTACTTTCTCAAATTCCCTATGGTTGTGAGTAGAAAACATTGCCCCTGCACCAGTGCAATGGCTCATCAGGCTAATCTTTTTCCTGAAGAGTCTGCATCCCACATGTATGCCGGTTCACATCCTGGCCGCTCCACTTCCTGTCCAGCTCTCTGCTATGGCCTGAGAAAGCAGAGGAAGTTGGTACAAGTCCCACCCGTGTGGGAGACCCAGACTCCTGGCTCCCAGCTTCAGATCAGCTCAGCTTCTGCCACTGCAGCCATCTGGAGAGTGAACCAGCAGATGGAAGATCAACCTCTTCTTTTCTGTCAATCTGCCTCCCAAATAAAAATAATATTTAAAAAAAGAAAGGGGCCAAAGTAGCATAGTAGCTACAGTCCTTACCTTGCATCTGCTGGGATACCATATGGGTGCCAGTTTGTATCCCGGCTGCCCCACTTCCCATCCAGCTCCATGCCTGTGACCTGGGAAAACAGTAGAGGATGGGCCAAAACGTAGGGACCCTGCACCTGTGTAGAAGACCCAGAAGAAGCTCCTGGCTACTGGCTTTGGATCATCTCAGCTACGGCCACTGCAGCTACTTAGGGAAAGAACCAGCAGATGGAAGATCTTTCTCTCTGTCTCTCTCTATAAATCTGATTTTCCAACAAAAACAAATCTTTGAAAAGAAAAGAAAGCAGTCATGGACTCATAGCTGTGGAATGAGATTCCCTTCTTGTGTTGCCAGCTGTTGGTGGCTGGGGAACTCTCTTAAGTTCCAGAAGTCATTCTCAGGTCAGTGAGAAATTCTTTAGACCCTCACACTTTTAAGAAAAGCCTCTGACTTCAGGAACAGCCCATTTGAAGCCAGGCCCTCCCCTCTGATAAGTCAAAGCCAACTGATAAGTACTGTAGTCCTGGGAGCTATAGCAGAGTCACAAGATCTGCTGCCTCCCGGGTGTGTACAAGGTGTGTGCACTCAGAGGAGCAAAGCCTATTGTAGCCCTCTTCTAAAGGGTCAAGGTCGTGAAAGATGGACAATACATAAACTACATGTACCATGTGACCAGGCATAAGATCTGGGAACAGAAGAAAAACTGGCTATCTTGAAAAAGTTCCATAGTTGACAATATCATGTAATTGTTAATATCTTATTCTTCTTTTACAGATTCTATTTTTATTGGAAAGGCAGAGTTACAGAGAGAAGATGAGACAGAGGGAGGTCTTCTGTCATCTGGTTCATGGCACAAATGACCACAATGGCCGGAGCTGAGCCAATCCAAA